CTGGACTTTATTTGGAGGGGAGAGGAGATCTGATCCATTGTAAATACTATATGTCATGGTAGAGATATTGTGATCGTGTGTATAATGTGATATGGTATTTATCTGTACAGTCATTGTAATATATTCCCTTTCCCCCATTCTGAGTCTGGTGTGTTTTGTCTGGAAAAACCCATCTCACATTAGATTGAGATGTGGGGGGGGCTTAGACTAGGGGATTGGATTTTGGGGCTATCTCAAACCATGACACTTACCTACCAAGTTGGGATAATCCAATCATTGGATTAATCAGCATAATCAACAGAAATTCTATTGAATACCCTTCTCTTTTTATATCCATTGATTCCTAATTGACTGCTATAGATGTCAGCAATTCACCTACTGAAATTCAATGTACACTTGGGGATCTATGCCTCCAAGTATCTCCAGTATTTGCTTTCAGCCTCAGTGGAAATTAATTGTTCTTTGGCTGTTTCTCAAACTTTCACCATTGGCAAGTGTTCCTTCCTATCTGTTCTTATCTGGTTTTTGTCTGTTATAGGGATTCATCTCACATCTCTACATTAGCATTGACTTCATATTGCCAAATTGAAAATGGCTCAGAATGGACACGTTTTTCAGGTCTTTGTATTAAGGCAGGTGTTATTACACCTTTGGCTGTTTAGATGGCCAGATTCATGTCATGTCTTAGGTTTCCAAATACTGACAAACATACTCCATCAAAGCCTTCTTTGCCTTCCAGATGCAAGCATTAGTGCAGCTAATAGGTAAGAAGAAAAGATGAGAGACTAACCTCACAGCTGAGAATCGTTCAGGTTCACAACTCTGTCTAGGTGAATAGAGGCACACACATTGGGGAAAGAAAACTAGAAAAAGTGGCCACATAGGCAATTAGTATGAAAAGGGTTAGGAACTTATTCAATTCTCTATTAGACAGGATTTGTAAGAACCAGCTATTGAAAAACCCTCTCTTTGAGCTGCTGTGCTTAAATGCAGGAGCTGCTGGCTAATAGTCTATGGTCACTTTCTGACCTCAAAAATCTATTACTCTAAAGCAGGCACTGCTCTCTCAGGTATCTGAAAGTATGATCTAATAGCGAATGTTGAATTAAAAGACACAGCACTCAGAAGAGAAAATAAATTATTTTCATTACTACATACCCCACAAAATACATAAGCATTTGTATTTGAATAATAATGTTAATACTAGGAAAACTACAGGATAATCAATTGTGCTTCATTACACAATTTTACTGTAGCTGAAGCAATATTTAATTTTGATACAGAGACACTTAGCACTTTGAAGAAAAAAAACAATTTTTCAGTTTATGCACAAAGCCATTTTTTACTTCCTTGTTGGTTATGCCATTGGAAATACTGAATCTCAAATCAGTCATGTATAGTAAGAAATCTCAGTAAGACACTTAGAAAATCCATTTTAAACATCTGTCAACAGAAAAGTATTGAATAATTCAATTTTTTTTTTAGTAAGGAGACTCAAGGGTAACAATTGGGTAACGTTGCAGAGCTCAATCTTCCCCAGAAACACTCTTCACACTAACATATATTCAATCATAGAATGTCCTGAGTTGGAAGGCACCCACAAGGACCATTGAAGTTCAACTCCTAAGGTCAATCATGCCTATGAAAGTGAATTTACTATCAATATCACAAATACTTTCATACTCATTTGGTCTTGTAATAAAACAATACAACAGAAACTCTCAGAGATATTCTGACTCCTCTACAGTCCACAGAGAAGGCTGGTTGGGGTTTGTTTTGTTGTGGGGTTTTTTTTGTTTTCTGTTGGTTTGGTTTGGTTTGGTTTTGGCTTTTGTTGTGTTGGGGTTTCATGGGGTTTTTTTTAGTCTAGATGCAATTATAAAAAAACCAACAAATTAAAACCCAGTACAAACATAAGTTTTTCCCTGCCACCCTCAACATAGATCTTCTCTTTCTGACTCTTTTCCTATTGAATACACACAAGATTAGTGCATTAAGCTAAAGTCAGCCCCTGTGACTACTTTGCAGTTTGTTGTATTTGCTTATATCTTTTATTTCTCAGTTCCATGTCTACAAAACCATGCAAGCTTTTTCAGTAAGAATTTCCAAAAATAGACTTATAATGAAGAAATACAAGAATAGCATGGATATAGATTTTCAAAAGGCACAAAATCCCGCTGACTTTTGTCAGTTAACTTAGAGAAAATGTCTTTTTTGCTAAATTTTCTCTGACAAGAATATTTTTCTTCTCTATTATTTACCAATTCTGCCAAAATCAGTAGTTTCACACTGGTGAAAATTACTATATAGGATGCACAAAACCTCCACCTGTTCAAGTATTATTACAACGAACATCTGGGAAAGAGCGAATTTTAAGAAACAGAATTGAAAAAAGTAACATTTGAAGCACAGTGGTGAATACACTTTCCCAAATTCAACTTGAACTTGAGACACCATTCTGGATATACTGAATGATGGTGTAGAAACAGAATATAGGATCCACTTATACAGCATAAAGGAGGCCTTCTGTCTTTAATCTTGCATTAGCAGAAGCTGCTCTGATGCAGTTGCCACTGAGAAGACTCAGTTCAAAAGCAGGGATGAGGCAGGAGACTGGAAGAAAAGCACTTTATGAATATCTCTCCTGCCAGGACCAATCATCCATCCTTTATTTTATAGAACATGTCATACAGCGATGAGAATAGTATGTCCTGTGTCAAATCAATGAAGCAAGCACTTTGTCCTGTGCTTCAGCAACCATCATGAAAGATTAATCTGCACAGCACATAAACACACTTCAGTACAATTATATTCCCAGGGAGCAGATTCTTGATTGTCTCAACTCTAGGCAGCACAGACAGGGGGCACTTCCAAGTAAGCTGGAGCCAGATGGGATTCTGTAGCTCCAGACAGAGTTCAAAACAAGGCTTATGGATTATCCTACCTTCACACAGAATGCTACAGTGACTTCACAGGTTTATTCTTCGAGAACTTGTCCCATTATTTAGGGCTTCAAAACTGAGTTAAATAGCAATTATTTTAAGCATTCCTAATTTTTCTTGCTACATCTGTCTGCAAAGTATTCCCTAGTGAGCAGAGAAGGTGTGGTGCAGGTATCAACACAGAATTATGTTGTCTTCAGCTGCTTACCATGGCAGCAAAATGTATTTTTTTTTTAATAAAATCGATTTACTAGCTAATTGCACATTACTCTTTCCATCAAGTGTGTCACATGCAAATTCAGAGATTGATAGCACATAAAAGCAGTATTTCATTGTTTTTGAAGGGAACAGAAGACCCAGTTTTCTAGTCTGGACATAGAGTCAGCACTTGAAAAAATAGAAAGAAACTTTAGACACTTCTACTTGCCTTCTATGTTTCTTTATATATTAGCTTCCAAAGTTAAAAGACAACTCGAATACTTCTAGTTTTGCTTCGATGGTGAAATCTAATAAAGTATTTTCTTCCTGTTGTTGCATTAAACACTGGAAATTAAAGGGTAGAAAGTTATAAAAGGTGTCAATTTAGGTGCCAAAATAGTCTTGGACAGAAAAATGACAATTCATATAACCAACCTGGAGAGAGCACTGCAAAAAACACCCAATATCTGTTTGCATTCTACTGTCTACAAGATGGTTCTAGTTGTCTATATATATATATATATATCATCATATCTACTTTTAATGAGTTGCCCATTATTGACAGTTAATGACTGCTACTGAATAAGTAAAGTATCACTGTACAAAACCTGCTCCTGAATTTTGACTACCAGATATTTCCTGATCGTGCTAATGTATGGTAGTTTGTAGTTCTCCTCTCATACTCTTCCCACCCAGGGTGAACCTGATCCTCATTAATATGAGCTGTCTGCCTCCTTGATTTCTCAACCTGCCCTGTTACTGTCAACTTTAACATGTTCAGCTACCTTCTCTCTTTGGTTGAATTATCCCATCATTCTTCTCTCCATTCCTTTTGGCATCTTCCCTTAAAATGCATTACTTTGCCACTCCATAATCCTAGGTGAAGACTCGTTGAACTCTTGCTAAGATAGCTCGCTAGCTAGAAAAGAGAGGACCCTTCAGATAAGCCTCCACGTTGTATCTGTTTCTGGTACAGAAAACAGGAACTGCCCATCTGGAGCAGGTCACCTATCTTGTCTCTCTGATACAAAGGCAGATTGTTATTTCTGGTATCCTGGGAGCAAGGCATTCACCATGTACCTCACTGCTTAAGTTATCTGATGAAAGTTAGACATGCCACTGTTGCTACTTTACTGACCTGCCAAAGAGAAACACTGACAAAACCTAGCTGAGAATAATTCTCCTTCATGACTTCAAAAATACCAAACCCCATTACTCCAGCAAAATCTGTTCATCTATTATTTTATCATGCCAGTGTTAATCCTTGTGAGCTGCCGTTTCAGGAACAATAGGTGGAATGGAAGCAGTCTACATCGTTGTTTTTTTCTCAGAATCTGTATGGGATGCTGTGCTAAATGGGAGAACCAAACAAATTAATTGGGGTTGAATCTTTTTGTATATTTACAACTTTAATTAGAGATAATACTCCAAAAGATCTTCACTTTAATATACAAATTTTCACTAATAAAGGAAGACAACAATGTAATACAACTGTTCATTTAGAAAAACCTCCAGTCAATGACAGGAATTAAAAAATATCCCTAGAAGTCAGTAAGAGAAAAACAAATTAACTGTTATACTTGATCTGTAAGTCTGAATTGTTTCTATCCTGTAACTCTATGTGTCAGTTTGATTAACATTCATTATATCACATTAAAAAAACCCCAAAATAAATCAATGACCAACAGCCCCTGTCTTCAGAGTTTCCTGAGAGAGAAGGTTGGGTTTGACAGAAGTCTGAATCAAAATGGAAGCCACAACAAGATTGTCTACAATTTCTGAGGGAGGAAGATATTTAAGAGTCAAAAGTAAAGCAGACGTTTTCTTAAGCTTTTCATATCCACACTAGCCCAGAAATTGTCAACTATGGAAATAGAACTCACTAGATTTGTCTCAGGGATATAGTGGGTATGATTGTGTTAAACAATGTATAAAACAGGTTAGAATAGGACTTACACCAATTACTATTTTCATCAAAAAAAGAATGTTGGATACTGTCTGCATACGAATCGATATGCACCACCAACACTCCTTCCAGACAAGAGGGTCTCACTCCTGGAGATGCTCCCATAAGTGAGAATCACCAAAACAGCTGCTTTCCAGACAGTTACAACATTGTCCATGCATGCAGCTATCTCACTATGATGTCAGCATTTATATGTTATAAACACGAGTTCTATTTCCACTTTGAAGCATATGCAATTATAGTTCTCTTGGCTGGGCCACATAAAACAAAGATCTTGTTTCTCAGTACTACAAACTCCAGATGGTTGTTAATAAAGGGTTTATGCCTAGTTCACAAGTGATGACAAAAAATAAGGCCTCCACATGCCTTGAATATTTTCTTGTTCTGAAAGATTCTCGTCTTCTATGTATAAGCTCGTCTTCTATGTATAAGTAAGAACTCATACCTCTGGAGTCTCTTTAAAGGATTAGTTCTCTGCTGTGGCACCTCCCATCCCACTGCTTTCTCCCTCATCACCACCCCTACCTCCTTTGTTACCACCCCATAAAAACCTGTCAACACAGAACATCAGAGCGCAGAGGCACTTCATAATGCCAGGAACATACCATCACAAAGTCCTGTCAACAATCCCTCCAGGTACTCACACAAGTGCAGCCCTGATCATCTTCTGATCTGTCTCTGGAGATGCTCCCTTGCTAAGAACTGTCAGCTAACTCAGGCTGCACACTTGCAACAAACTCAGGCCACCAACTGAGCACCTACACCACCTCCAAAGCCATTCTGAGGTTGCAGTGGTGACTTACTACGAGCCAAGCCTGTCATAGCAAGTTGCATCAGGAACATCCTATCTACCAAAACTGTAATGATAAAACTAACAAGAGAATATTCTAGAAATGACAGAAAGCCACCAGCATCTGAGAGTTCAACTACTGCTGGCAGTTCAAGTCCAAAGAAAACTGAGAAGCCCTCACACAACTACTCTCTAGATCTTGGGACACTTACAGACAACAATTTTTTCATCGTCTCCCTGCTTAGCTGCAGTTATGCCTTTGAATACATCCAGTTTGAGTACTGCATGCTTACTGATAAACAGTTCAAGGCTTAGCTTACATTTAAGTCCTACCTAAAAAAAAAAAAAAAAGGGCTCTTTGCCTCCTAATTCCTCAAGGGAGTCAAAATAGCACCAAAGATACAGCCTCAGAAAACCAGAGGGGAAAATTACAAACACAGGGTCACCTCCTACCTTTAAACCCCTTCCTGAGAAGACTCAAGTGCAAATCAGACACAAAAAGTAAAAGTGTTATTTTCTGACACTGCTCTGGAGGCAGTCACCTGCAAAAGAGGCTTCTAAATTACAACTTTCAATAACAGCCAGAACCAAGTGCTCACCAACCAGCTCTGAGTAAAATGCAAACAGAAGAGGGCTGAAGATTTACCCCTTCCTGCAGCCCTTGTGATTAGTTGGGTCTGCTATGGGTGACCCACAGCTTCGAGGTCCTTTCTGCCATTCACCTTGCTGAGTGAGCAGTTCCTCCTGTAATTTCTGTTAACCCCTCTATCAAAAGTGGCCCTTTTCTATTGTAGCATTGCTGCAATCTTAATCTTCTCAGAAAAAGCAGCTATTCTATTCCTGCAGTAGCTACCTAATACTTATTTTTACACCTCCTGGCATTGCTCCCTAGCAGGAACTACTGATTTTAGCAATATAGTCTTAAACTAGAAGTGGGATTGGAAAAGAACAAAAATCTACTATCTGTAATTGTGCTGCTAAACAGAAAGCAGAAAGAATTGTCTTTCTTTGTAGGCCATGCCATATTTTAGACTCAAATGCAGTAAGCTGATGGATGTGAGCAGATCCCCCTGTGACTTCCCAGCACTATAGGAAGGAAAGGAAAACGACTGTGCAGAACAGTTTGAGTAATTATGGGCCTTAATTAGAAAGTAGAACTATGCTTCTGGCATCCATATAACTGTGCCTGGTTTCCATTAGGAAATGTGTCTTTTAGTTTTCCTCCAGGTTGTCTTCAAACAAAACTTTCTGCTTTTGAATGTGGCTATTAAATTAAATTGCTGTATATTTAAGACTTAAATTTTAATTCAACACATTATTTAAATTTCTGTTAATTCTAATCACATGGCTTGACTCATTTAATAGTGCATTAATGGGATATTTCGCCTGGTCACAGTTAAATTCTCTTTAAGTGTTTCCTTTAAACTTTTAAGTCAGGTATAAGATGAGATCAACCCTTATTTTTTCTCCTCATATTAATGTTTCGCCGTCTTTCTTTACTTCAGAAAAAAAAAATACAGTAGCAGTAGTTAGTTGGTTGTTGGGAAATTCTCATTCTTCTTTCTTTTTAGATCCTATTGATTTCTACTTCCCTCTGGTTATTTGCATTCTCTCTTTTTTTTTTTATTCAAAACATAGCAATGAGTTATAAACACACATTTTAAAAGAATTTTCTGGGTAGGTAGGGTATTTTCAAACTCTTGTGACATAA